GACTAATAAAATTGGAAACTAAAATTGTTCCTAAACAATTCAAAACAAATCAAAATATTTTGAAAATTTTTTCGTATATAGAAAATGCAAATATAAACAACCAGAGACAATTTCATGTATATATAGTATTACGTTCGTTTTTTTTAGAGTTACACCAAAAATAAAAATCAATTTTGTGGAAAACCGATTTTGCGTAAAAATTCCGGGTTTTCCTTAATTTGTATGTTGTTTTTCCCGCCGCTTTTGAAAATTATTGTAGGAATTTTAAAATTTGACCTCTCGAATGCACCAACTATAGATTCACTTTCCCATCGAACAAGATACTGTTGAAGAAAATCGAAGCAGTTTTACTGCCCCAAACCGTGATGACAGACACAAAAAAAAACACATCATTGTTAAATCAATAAATACATTCATCGGTAAGCTCAGAATCTAAAATCCAATTTATTTATTTAAAATTTCAGTTGTTGTCAATTATATTATTCATTTTACAATAATAGCAACAGTATATTCTATAGTAATGATATGTTTTTTTATTTTTATTTTTTTTTTTTGTGTCTGTCTTCGCCTTTTGTGGCAGTAAAAGATTTACACCTAGATATGTATAATGTAGCCATGTAGGTAAATAATTTGTATAGGGTGATTCTTTTTTAAATGTACGCATGTTGCAGTATGAACTATATATACATATATTATATACTATACTATGTTATTATATACAGAGGCGTTCTCAGGATATTTCAATGGAGGGGGATGAAAAAAATGGTTTCAAAATAAGCCGTACCTAAGGGTTTTGCCTCACAACTCCCATATTAATATATTATAATAATGAATATTAAAAAAGCGGGTAAGTGGATGTCGCTCTGCTGTACAGTAGATTACAATACTTAGTCACTATATAATAGATTGTATTAAATTTGAATTCAATGATATCATATCATTGTATACGAAAAACGATTCTGAGCGGAGACGGTTTGTCAGTCTGGATATTTTATATTGTAATTATATTTTATTATAGCCTGTAAGTTGAATTAATATTATAAATTACGATAAAATAACTAAAATCATTATTTTTATTTTATTTGTTACAATGGTGATAAACAAAGTGTTAGAAATTGAAATCACATTTTTAGCGGTTTTTGAAATTTGTCGGTGAAATTGTAATGTGTCATTAAATAAATATTGAGAAAATTGAAAAATTACCTCTCTAAAGTACCATCTTGATAAAATTTGCTAAAAGAAAAGATATACTATATGTTAAAAGCGAAGAACTGCTTCTGGTAGAAATTTTGTATGCAGGAAAAAATAAAAATAAATATAAACAATATTGAAAAACCAATAGATCCCTCACTCCGCTCAGAATCTAATAATATTGATAGTAATATAGTTGATAATATCAAATAATCAATTCAAGTCATATTTATTGTTCTTTTTATTTAAACTATAAAAGAATGTTATGAATCAGTTTAAATCAGGAATGAAAAATGTTTTTAATTTTATCGTTTTTGTTTTTGATTAACGTTTTTAAAAACGTTATTTTTCTATATTGTTTTTGATTAACGTTTTTAAAAACGTTATTTTTCTATATTGTTTTTGATAATATTGTTTTTTACTTATAGTAGTAAATTTAGCAATTTAGAAATGCACTTAAGAGTTAAAAATTAAATTAAATTATTCTTGATTTCAAATAAAAATGTTTTTAAATTTAATAGAGCATTGTTGGTAAAGATTAAAAAGTAAATACTTAAGTAACATTTTTTTTTACGTGTTATTAATATAATAATGTATAATACTATAATTTATTTGCGTTTTCGTTTTCGTAATTAATTTTTTTTCTGTTTTTAGGATTTTTTGTTATGGTTTTTTGTTTTTGTTTTATTCATTGTTTTCGTTTTTTTTCCGTTTACTAACGTTTTTTAAAAACGTTTTCCATCCCTGGTTTAAATTATTTATTTTATTTTATCACTGTGGTGTTATCATTGTGAATCTTACCTTTACATTTTTTCTGACGCTGGGAATTTATAAAGTTGACGGAGTGATTGTTTACAAAAATACAGTACAAATCAACGGCAAGATACAGTTATCCCAATCATGATAAGAACTATGTCATATCGTGGTACCAACCTTGAAAATAAAAATCCCGAAGTATTCTTTTTACTAGACAAAATATTATATTATATAATAAATAATTAAATAATAAATATTTTATATTAAATATTAATAACTAAATAATTGTTTAAAGGAAAATTATTATATAAATTTATATATATATTTTTTCTATTTTTAAAAGTGTAGGTAGTCATATTTTTAGCTAATTATTTAATATTTTATTTTATTGTGATATATATATTTCCTTTTGATTTGAAAGTTCATAATTTTTAAAATTATTGAAGTGTTTATTAGTACAATTGATCAGTCAAATGATTAATGAACCAATAGCTTTAGAAGCTTTCAATCAGATATACAATAAAGATGTAGTCATATGTGGTTGAATAGTAGATATTAAGCGACCTTGGCTATGTGCAAGTTCCATTTGACTTATTTTGAACAAAAGTGGTACAGAAAAGGTATTGTAAATTAAATGTCCAATATCATGTAAAGACAAACCAATAGTTGATTCTAATAAAAATATAAATGTAAAACACTTGGAATGGGATAAGAAAATATATTGATTTACCCCCATATACCGACCCCTTCCCATACCGTGATAATGAATAATGATATTAATATAATATTCTAATGTTATTATAAATATTATTTATATTATAATTTAAAAGTACCTATTAGCTATTTATAAACTTACAATGAATATAATATATAGGACGGACTACATTTCGTACAGTATCTAACCATGAGCCCAATTAAATTCCCATTCGGAATTTTTTTCAATATTTGACGTTGGTAACAAAACATATTCCTTATCACGATTGGGATAACTGTACCCAGCCCACAAATCAATTGTAAAGCGAATTGCCTGTTACATGTTATAATTATCAGTGATAAATAATAATATTGTTTATGGCTGGTGGAATCAATAATCACGATAAAGAAAAATTGCAAAAAAAAAAATAAAATAATAACTACCAAGTCAATATTGAAAACACAAACACATATCAGAAGTAGACAAAACGTGTATTACTAATATGATAAAAATAAAGAACCTTGGGGGGGGATCTATCCCCCATATCCCCCCCCGTGAGAACGCCCATGATTATATATTATATATATTATATTATGTTATATTATACTTACTGACTTATTAATTAACCAGAAAGACGGTTTGTCAGCCTAAGATATTTTATAGTATATTTATATTGTTATTATTAATACGATAGCCGGTTAAGTTGAATTATTATTATTTGTTAGATTTCTGAGGGATCCGCAGTGGTTTTACGATGGTGTTTATTTATTTAATTTTTTATCCTGTGTACAAAATTTCTACCAGAAGGAGTGCTTAGATTTCAACATACAGTATCTTTTAGCAAATTGAATCAAGATGGTACTTTAGAGAAGTCATTTTTCGATTTTCTCAATAGTTATAATGCCACGGGAAAAACTACAGACAAATTACAAAAAACCGCTAAAATTGAGATTTTAATTTCGAACGCTCTGTTTACCACCGTAGAAACGAATAAAATAAAATAACGATTTTAGGTATTCTGTTGTTAGAATTTTAGTTTATAATATTAATTCAACTTAAATATAATAACAATATAAAATAGCCAGACTGACAAACCGTCTTCGCTCAGAATCGTTTTTCGTATACAATGATATGATATCATATTGAATTCAAATTAATCAAATTTAATACAATCCATTATACAGTGATCCACTTGTAAGTTGTAACCTACTGTACAGCAGAGCGATATCCACTTACCCGCTTTTTTTATTATCATATTTGGAAAATTATTAATATATTTTTTAAAAATTTGAAACTACTTTTGAAAACCTATTTTGATTAAAAATGTCCGTTTTTCCTTGGTTATTTTTTTTGGTTTTTTACCTTACTTTTGAAAACTACTAGGAATATTAAATTTTGACTTCCATAATTCACCTACCAAATTCACTTTCCCATCGAACTAGAAACTGAAGTTGAAAATCGAACCATTTTTACTTCCCCAAAAGGCGTTGACACCCGCAAAAAAAAAAAAAATACACATTATTCCTATAGAATAGGTACTATTGCTATTGTTATAAATTTAATAATAAAACTGACAACAACAACAACCAACATTTTTAAATAAATAAATTGGATTTTTTTTTCTAAAGTTTAATTATATGCCCATCTATATGTTCAAAACTAATAATACCTATAATAATTTTATATTTTGATTATATTTTTTTTCGGTGGCTTTTTTTCCCAAGTTCGTTTTTAACAGAATTTTCATAAATAAAAAATTATAACTAGACAATTAAAAAACGTGTTAATTTTTTGTTTTTGTGTGGGGCCCCGCCAATTTATTACAAAAGCCATTTATTATGCCCGAAATGGGTATACCTGCTACCGGGTTTTTGGGAAAATCGTCAAAGAAGAGAGAAAAGCAGCAGCAGCAGCAGCTGACGACCGACGATGGGGAAGCCATGGCCAAATATTTGAGAGGGGAAAGAGATGATAAAATAAATAATAATATCATTAAAGATTAAATTAGTACTATACGCCACAAGGACGAACCAAACACTATTATCTCTTGGTTGTCGCGACATTTGCATAATGCACAATAACTTGGATAGATAAAGCGAAAAAATCATTGACTACTTTTCTTACCTACCTACGTCGCAGTTATTAGTTATTTTTATTACACATGTGTACGCACAAAGAAACGTCCGACCGTGCAGCAAGCTCAGTGGTGGTTATGTAAGTTGTCGCGATTTTCTTTTGTATTTCTCAATCGACTCATATCATTGGTCATTCGATTGAGTTGAATATTAGAGAACGATTGTATTTTCCGAACTAACCATACGACGAACGAACGTTCTTAGTTTCGTCCACGTTCGACAATATGGCTGACCTGATGTTTGACTATCAGTTCCGTTTGATACTGATCGGCGACAGTACGGTGGGCAAGAGTTCGCTGTTAAAATTTTTCAACGATGGTAAATTCGTCGAGGTAAAAGCTCTGTTAAAAATACCAAGTTGTTCATTGCATAATTATGGTTTTTTTTTATTATTGTTCACCAGGTGTCCGATCCAACAGTTGGCGTCGATTTCTTCGCTAGAACAATACAAATACCCAGCGGTCCACGCATAAAATTACAACTATGGGATACAGCTGGCCAAGAGCGATTTAGGTGATTAAGAATTTTTTTTGTTGTATTCTTTGGACTTGATGGTTATATTTTGTATATTGTAATAGATCAATTACAAAATCCTACTACCGAAATTCAGTAGGCGCTCTGTTAATATATGACATAACAAAACGAGCCAGTTTTGATCACATACCTGTTTGGATGAATGATGCCAAACGACACATTGAACCTCATCGACCCGTATTTGTCTTAGTTGGGTGCAAATTAGATTTGGTAAGCTTAAAATATCTTTGTACAAATAAGCATTCTAAAAAATTCAAATACTATTAAAAAGTACATACATAAAATATCTTTCTTGTAGGTATCCTTGTTTTTTACAGTATGTAAATTCAATAACTATTGTATATTATGCTTTAATTGGAGGATACAGTAGTTACTAATTATCTTTATTTCTTTTTTATATTACCTATATTATATTTTTATTGTTCCCAAATTATTCATGGTACTTCCAATTTTGGAAAATGGTTGAGTTTAATTTGACACTACATGCTAATGTCTTTTTATTTTATTTTATTGTTGATCATTATCTCTACGATAACTTTTAGTTGGCCAACGACACATAACTAGTACACTTGTAATCTTAACAGTAATATTAATTATCAATGATAAAACTAAATTCAAACATTAATGGACAATATGGATACACAGAAAATAGTTTATCATATTTATTTTAATTCATACTCTTATTTATACATAAAATATATCTTTTCTTATATAAATATATTTTATAATATTCTATTTTCTATTATAAAAATGTATAGAAATATTTCAAAGCTTAACGTGACCTTTCACAATATAAATAATCACAATCCACTGTTTAAAATTCTCTGACTTAAATCTTTAATGCTGAGTTAAGATCATACTGGTTTCGCTTTTAAAGTTTCATGATAAGGTTAATTAAATATTGTCTTTTATATATAGAAGTGTTTTATTAAGACTAATAATTGCTTTTACTTTTATGAATTATTATGTATGTTCCGTTAAACGTTGATGGTAGATTATTTTTAAATTGAATAAAAATTAATTAAGATTACAAGGGTTACAATCAAGGTTATCTACTTGATATTTGTAATATACTATAGTATGGAAGGACAAAAGGTTTCCTAATATGTACCTAATACTATTTAATAAAAATAATAAAAAGTATAACAGTATTTTGTGGATTTTATTATGACAAAATATTTGGTTAAATAAATAAAAATAAATAATGCTCTCAAACAATAAATATTATGTACCCAGTACCTATGTTCAAAAATGAAAATTATTCATCTAAATTTGAATTAATAAAGCTTAGAACATTTTAAAATGACCGCCAATTCTGTATTTGCTTGTTTTGCATAGGTAAATAATGGTGCTAGTAAGAGGGAAGTGACTGAAGAAGAAGCCAAACAATTTGGTGCAGAACATAATATATTCACTGTCGAAACATCTGCAAAAACTGGTTCTAATGTTGAATTGGCATTCTCTGCTATCACCCAAGAAGTAATTTATTTATTTATTTACAAATTGACTATGTTTTATATTATATGCGTCTTTACTATTTTATTGGCATGGCATTTTAATAAATGTAATATCAATATATTGAAAAAAAAGTTGTATTATCTATTTTTATTAAATATTAATTATTTTAGATTTATCAGAGGATAAAAAGCGGTGAATACCAAATGGAAGAAGGCTGGGATGGCATTAAAAGTGGCTATTCACATCATTCAGCTAGTATTGATTTTAATAACTATATCGAAGCTGAACCAGCGAAGTCATGCTGTTAAAACATGAATCCCCTTAACAAAGCTTACTATTCTTTTTCTTTTTTATCTTTAACTGAGTAACAATTTTATAAAACAAACATTTAGCTTTGATGACTTATTTTTAAACTTTTTTAATGTTTATTTTGACAAATATTAACCTAAGGTAAATATGTAAACTACACTTAGGAGAATGGTACAAGACTAGTGTTCTATGAATTATTGTAAAGTATAGTTTATTTTATATATATAATATATTATGTATAACTTTTTTTTTTTTGCACATAATTATATTTTTTTAATATGAACATTTTACAGTTAAGCTTTGTGTAAATTATGTGTTGTATTCAAAAATAAATTAGTTTAATTGATTTCCAAATGTCAACATACACTGTCTTATTCCTTGCTGGCATAGATGGTAGTCTCTGAAAGGTGGCACCATGTGCTTATGTAGTAATGATAAAAGTGCTATGAACTCTGATAAAGCCTTTTCATAATTGTGCTTATCCATCAACCGTTTGGCAACCGAGTATTTATTCTCTGTATCCTTAAAGAACATTTTTTTTTATTAATATTGCTCGCTAAATCAGTCTTCTGTTCTTCTACCCCAAATCAGTCCCAATCACTTAGCCCTCTTAGTCTGTCATTTGATCTCCCATCGGATTGCAACTTCTCACCGGAGGATATTCTTTCAGCGCTATCTTCCCTATGCAATAAAACCTCCACAGGTCCGGATGCAATCCCGGCCATTTTTCTTTTCAACTGTCGTTTGTCTGTCTACATTCCGATGTTCCTTTTGTTTAGAAGGTCTCTGGATGAATGTACGTTCCCTGATATCTGGAAAATCTGTTCTGTAACGCCTGTTTTGAAATCTGGTGATGCTTCGGAAGTCACTAATTACAGACCAATATCAATAATCTCTCATATTGCCAAGCTATTTGAACTTGTTGTTTATCAGTGCATTAAACGTAGCCTTAATCATATATTGATTGATGAGCAGCATGGTTTCAGGCCAGGTAAATCTACTTGCACAAATGGTGTTTCCTTTCTATCATACATTATTGAGAACATTGAGACTGGTTCTCAAGTTGACGTCATAATCACTGATTTTAAAAAAGCATTTGATACGGTTAATCACGAGCTGCTTATTTATGAATTAGAACGTCTAGGCCTTGGATATCCGTTGCTCGGATGGTTCAAATCTTACATTACAGGTAGGAAGCAATTTGTAAAAGTGGCTGGGGTATCATCCTGCGTAATCAACATTCCATCAGGCGTTCCTCAAGGAGGGCACTTAAGTCCACTGCTGTTCTCTCTTTTTATAAATTCTCTGTCCCAACACCTTAACAGGGCCAAGTGTCTTCTCTTTGCTGATGACATCAAACTATTTTTGAAAATTGACTCTACGGCTGACCAGGCTGTTCTACAGAGTGAGCTTGATTTATTTTCTATCTGGGTAAATCGTCTTGGACTGGTACTTAATCTTGACAAATGTCACTCAATTACCTTCACTAAATCACGTTCATCTACAAACAGAACATATTCCATCAATGGCTTTCCACTTAAACAAGTATTCCAAATTAAAGACCTTGGTATCCTTTATACGTCTTCTCTTTCATTTAACCAGCATATTGATGCAATAGTAGCACGTGCTCTTAAGGTTCTCGGATTTATTAAACGCAACACTAAACATTTCACATCAGTGAATTGTCTTCGTTCCCTCTACTTTACATTAGTGCGACCAATTATCGAGTATGGAGTTGTGGTATGGCACCCATACCTTGCAAGACACCAGCATAAGCTAGAACAGGTACAAAATCGATTCCTAAGCTACTTAGCATTTACGAGTAAAACTGACGTGTCCCCCCATGACTATGTCCAACTACGTAAAATGTTTAATATCCCATCTCTCTCTACGCGTCGCACCGATATAGATGTACACTTTTTAACTTCCCTTCTAAATGGTACTTTAGACGCTCCTAACTTACTTGCTAAAATTCCATTTAAAGTTCCTACCCGTGGAATACGAAACCTAGACCAGTTTTATGTTCCCCATCACTCTACTGCCTATGGTTACAATCATCCACTTCACAGAATGCTCAGAGTTACTAACTTAAATATACCTTAGCTGTGTTGGCTGCGTTCTCAGGCTGCTCTTGTTATTTGTACGCTCTAGTTTTTGTTTAGAGTTTTTATGCTTATTACTAATTTGTTATCTAATTGTTATTACCTACATATTATGTATTATTGTTTAACTGCCGATTGGCGTAAAATATATATAAATAAATAAATAAATAAATAAATAAAAGTAATTGAACAGTAGGTACCTGTAAAACTTTTAAAACTGGTAACAGGTTAGTAGTTTTTGAACAAACCATACAACGGACTGCAAACTCCATTGATTCTGTTGTCACTGTTATTGCATTTTTGCAATGTATACACCTGATCCTGAGTGATGTATTTGTCTTCATTTGTTCTGAAGTTGGCCAATCTTGACAGCAGGCAACACAATTACATTCAAACCAATACCTATCACAAAAAAACCAATGTATTTCAATAAATTTCCCACAATATTTTGAAGTATATAATCCACGTAATAATTCATTATCAGCACCGGATAGGAAAGGTATCGGCCCACGGAGTTTTAAGATTTATAATGTTTGATTACAGCTACTGAACAGTTTAATAATTCTATTCAATTATATTTTCTAATAATATTTGTACTAATTTTACACCATGTTCAAATAATATGGTCAAAAATAATATATATATTATGGCTACTCATGACCGTAAAACGAGATTTTAGTAGCTAACTATCAGTAGATCTCCGGGCCAATGGCCATTTCATTATTTAGTTTATTTAACTAACTAAATACATTTTTTATTCTATCCAAAATGTAATTGATAGTAAAATTGATGGTGACAATGGGGTAAAATGTATTTATTATCTGAATATCTCTCATGTATTCAAACTTTATAACCTAGGTAACTAAGTTTCAAAAATCAATAATTTTTTAATTGATTTATTAATTTTCTGAATTATATTAAAAACATTTAATCTATGAATATATAATACCAATTTAATATATTGTGTGATTATAGATTATTGATCAATTATTATTGAAATATAAAAATGGTGAATACCTGTTTATAAGTGTCTGTTGTCGCTCTTCTTTTGGGTGGAACATAAACATTGGACCATAATTTTCTGTAATCGCTTCTCCAGCATGTAATTCGCGGATGTTGTGCACCACGACCGTTGTTCCTCGGTGATACCTACATATTTTGAACAATTAACCGATCGCCTTGGATTTCTACTTTCTAGTGTAGATACTTAAGGGGCTACGTCATTATTTAAGGGGCAACATTTAAGCAATTTCTAATCTTGTCATAGTCGCCCGGGATGTGTGTGGTAGTTGTAAATGATTATTAGTGTGAGTGAAATTAAATGCGGGTATCCTCTCTCGTACACGCGCATGCACATGTCAATAACTCGATAACCATTTAATTTTCACTACCTACACGAATTTTACAAAAACATACATTTTGTTTTGACAAAATTAAAGTTAGTTAACGTTGTCTGATTTTGATTCTGAAAAAATATTTGAATTCACCAGAAAAATGTCTGTAGATCGTACGAAACATTTTCCCTTTTTTAACATCAATTTTAATTTTAATTATGATTCAAAAAAGTTCATATTTTCAAATTTTCAATTACAGTTCACAACAATATAAAATTTAGTTTTTACGAAGTGCCTCTTAAGATCTATAGACAATTTTCTGGTGAGTTCAAATTTTTTTTCAGAATCAAAATCGGACAACGTTAACTAGCTTTAATTTTGTCAATACTCTAGGTCTTTTCAGCTAAAATGTATGGCAGTAGCGATGAGGCCCCTTAACCAAGAAAGTGTACACCATTTACACCAAGTAAATCAGTAAATGTAAAGTAATAACTAATAATATACCTTATATACGGCTATACATACCTGACAACACATGGGTCGCAAGAGTGATTCAGCAAAGCTAGGGTCGGGTAAACGGAGCCACCGATGAACACTGTCTCTTGCTCGTTGCCAAGTTGTCGGAGTTCGGACACTTCGAAAGCGTTAAATTGGAGCAGAAGCAGATGATGTAACAATAGACTTCCGATGAATAACTCGTCATCGGTCGGTCGACTGTCCGTGTTGCAGCCTGAAGCGAAATAGTTTGTCTTTTTCAAACAGGACAAGTAAAAAGCAGCCACGTGCGTTCTGTGTAAAATGTCCTGTACAGATCTCGTCTCCCGATGTGTGACCAAGTCGTACAAGTTGACGTAGTTGTCGGGTTCGTGTTTACCACGTGGTCTCTGGGTCTAAAAAATTGTAAATTATATATAAATTATAATTTATAGGTGCAGGTGGTGCATCATATTATCATAAGCAAGAGTGGCTTAACCCCCCTCCCCAAGAGGGTATTTAGGCACAAGCCCTATAGACATGTGCCTAAAGCGGCAACGTTAGGGGTGTGGCAAATGTTGGCTTCATAGTTTCTTTAGATATCAAGGGAATGCTTCAATATATTATATGTATGAGTGGTTGAACCTTTTCTTTTGACCAATAATAATAATTAATGTTTCTTTTTATAGATTACAATATAACAGATTTCATATTGATTTTATAAGCGTATCATATATACATACTATATTATATTATTATAATATCTTATATGTTTTATGAGGGATTGGGTTGCATGACAAAAAGGCAAATTGGGGGGGTGTATATGGGAGGAAAAAACTCAAATACGTTTCCACTGCTCTCTCCCCCCGCAACAGCCTCAGCAACTTAGTCCACCTAAACTCTTATAAATTATAATATTATAATCGACGAGCTTCAGTTACACGGTTCAACAACTTTGGTCGTAGGTCAATGAAATACTTCAACGGCCGTTGTGTGATTATTCGAAGTGCGATCAAGCACGTAATAGAAACGCCGGCTGAGAAGAGCGCAGGCAACATCGAACATTCTACCGCATGATACGACTCTAAGGCGCTTCTTTTGCAAGACTCGCCGCAAAATGCCACTCTTTCGCAATCCGGACACGGCAAAGGCGCCACCAGCCTGTGGACATAATAATTATTAAGTAGGTAAATAATATAAAAATTAAAAAATATAGTGCAGTGATCTCCAACCAGTTTTTACTCATGACCCATTTTGGAAATACTAATTATTTGAAACAATGAGACCCACATAATCAGATTAAAATAATACTATTTAATATTAAATATTTTTAAATCTTGGTATGTGGAGAAAATTCTAATACCTATACAAATATTACTAAAAATATTGAAGTCTATACAGTAGCCAGTAAGTCATTAATTTTTAATTTACAAAAAAAAAAAATAGATTTTATCAAAAACTGGTTTTGCAAATAGATTCTAGTTTTCATAGGTTATTTTACTGTTGACAACCTAAAACAAATGTAATGTATGTATTTTTACTGCTCCTAAAGGTGCCAAAAAAAAAATCACTCACAACCATTGTAAAACTGTGATAATATCGCTTCGACTTCGCTTTGACGCTTTCTATCTAACATTTTGATTCATCCGATATGCACCGGTTGAAGGGCACTACGACACCACAATATGTCCACATACCTATATAATATATTATGTAGATAGCTAAATAGCCTAAATCTGTGAGTCTAGTGTATATAGGTACACCAAATATAAATATTATATAAATAGATAAACACTAGTATAGGTCAGGGACAGATCCAGGGGGCCTAGGGGCCCAGCCCCCCAGACATATTTTTTTATAAATATAAATATTATATATTAAATAACAAATAAACAAAATCTAAACTTCTTTTCACATTGTCGCTTTATATATTAAATAATCAATAATTTATTTATCACATTGATTACCTATTTTTTTTTTTTTTTTTATTATTCAAGAAGATAATGGGTCTCACTAAACTTATACATAATATTATGACAATATTTTTGGTAAAGTATTACTACCTATATAATATTTTATTATAATTGTATTGTATTTGTGTTGTAAAAAAATTATTGCCCCCCCCCCTCCAGATCTTTGCTCTGGATCCGTGTCTGGTATAGGTATTTAAATAGTTAACTATATATTGATAGGTAATATTATATAAATTATTTATAACATTAAATGCTGTCGAAAGACAAAAATCTGTCTATCGTATACCTGACGAAACAGTTGGTGCAATGCGAATGACTGTACTCGCGGAGTAGGACTGAGGCGTAGGCGCGTTCAGCCAGTAGCACTTTTCCGACGGGCACGTCGCTTCCGGCTACAGCGTGTCTTCCTTCAGTCTCATTGTATTCGACGGATACTGCGTTGCTGAACGCCGGATACACTTCATTCCGTCCACCGTACACTTCCGGTTCCTCCGGTTCCGTTGTACCGTTCTCCATAATGCCTATTTTAATATGTATATGTATACGAACATAACGTTATGTACGGTGGCGCAAATAAGGGGGGCCTTAGCGCCTTCAAAATCACTCAAAGTCCCCCCCCTCTATTACAAATAACAATATAATTTATATTATAATTTCCAAAAAAATATTTGGGGCTTGAGCCCCCCTAAACATTTTTCCTATTTGTGCCACTGGTTATATAACTGCGTAGACAATGCGTATAGTGCATTGTAAATGTACAACTGTAATGTTATATTTTTATAGTTGCTTTACCGTTCTTAGTGTGCGTGTCCTTAATCATCATCGTCAGCATGGTCTGAATGTTCAGTTGTCGTTTGCGCCGTTCGTCCGGAGACAAATTCGAATCGTCCAGAGACCGCATGGTTGTCCTAAACGACTCTACCGCCAATTTCAACTGTTTCGTGGCTAACAGACACCGTGCTTTCCTATGTTTATAATAATTAATATGCATATTACGTATAGTGGGGCTGCTTATTACAATACATAGGTAATATTATTTATTCTTAATCATTACAACGCCAGTACGGCACTTCGGCGGGTTGTACTATAGATCTAGATCATTGTACCTATACATCCAAAACATTTTCAAAGTTAAGTGTACCTATTATTTGTTCACCATTAAATTTTAACTTAACGATCTTGTATTCATTTATTAACTTAACTGAACATATTCCCACCTTTGTCGGCTTTAAAATACAAGCGCCAAACAAAATTTACACAGGAACATTTGAGTCAAAATCAGTAGGTACCAGTAGGACATAAGATTATATTATAATATAAAATTATACCCAAAAATATAATATGTCAAAAACGCAAAAGATATAAAAAAAAATAATATAATTTGTAGATTGTAAGTTCTTACTAATATTAATATTTTATATAATATAGTAATAAGTAATATCTATACATATTATTTGATTTTTAATTATATTTTAAAATTAACAATAATCAATATTAAGGAAAATTAAAATCGTGATTATAAAATAATATTGGTAGCCAGGTAGGTCCCTAACTAATATAAATAAAAAGTAAATTAACTTATTACATTTTATAAAACAAATTGTCTATAAACTAGTTGGCATTTTAATCACACATTTTTCAGATATTCAATTATTCTAATTATTTCTTCCTTAAAAATGTATGCTCTCATATACATGATATGTCCTTACTCCTTATAATGCTAAGTTTGAAGAGGAAGAATTCATAAATAAATATCAATATATGTTTTCAAATTTCAATTTGGAATTTTAGTTAGACAACTACTATAACTGTCTTTTTAAATGCCGCGATGGTTCAGCTAAATATTTTATAATTCGTAATGTTCGTAGGTATATATGATATTTTTCAGAAATTTAAGCCCAAATATCTAAAGTATAATATGTACTAGAATCAATCTAGCCATGTAGGTATGTCTCTAAAATGTAATCACTAACCACTAGCTAGCTCTTAAATAGTATCTAGGTATATATTTTTCATTAATTAAATAAAACCCATAAAAGGCTTCTGTAATTATTGTTTTTGTAAAATAAATTTTCTGTATAGCTTACGCTAAATGCGAATGCTTACCAAGAAGGTATACTACATATACCAACAATATACATATAATGTTACCTACTTACCTGTATAATAGTTATAACTGATAAGTTTATAAGACCAAAACTCTGACGCTCTATCATATTCAGATGTAATAAATTTGTAAGGGATCTGCAGCGATTTGGCGCTTTTGATGCACGTTAGGATTTTTTTTTGCTCATATCGTTTTGGAACTTATGTAATTATGTCTTTCACTGCCTCTCCCAATTATAGGTACCTACCACGTGTAAAATGAAAAAAAATATCCACAATAGTTTGTAGGAGTGGTAGGACCGCATACAAAATAGCACCGGGTCCAAAATTCTAAATACTTATGCCTACATCGGTAAAATGACTGCAGATGTATAATATTAATAATATATTATACCACGTGTGACCTACCTATCGTACACTTTATATCGCAGATCCTTGGGATATCCGTTGTCGAGCGCCCGCTGTACGTCCGAAATGGCCAGGTCGTAATTTTTTAAATGATACAGACACGCCGATCGATTGGCGTAGATGATCGATAGTTGTATTCTCCAATCTGCCGAAAAAACATCCCACGATGATATAAACATTTCACGCCCCTCCCCCCCAAAAAAAGACTCCGTCAATGAATTTAGTTATCAATACAATTATACCTAATTACGCACCTTTGGTTTGGGGACAGTGGAGCACAGCTAAAGAATACCAGTTCAACGCATTTCGATAGTCCGACTTCTGAAAATAATCAGTCCCGGACTTTTTCATTTCCATAGACTTTTCTCCGTTTTTGTAGCTCGCCGGCTCGTCTTTGGTATTTTGACAGCCACCGGAAACCTGTCCGCCGGCGTACAGTCGTTCGTACACGAACTGTATTTTCTGTTTGTCGTCTGTCGACTTGGTGAATTCATCCCAATCAGACGTTTTTAAAATGTTCCGAAATCGATCGTGTCGAATCGAAAAGGGCTCGACGCCCTGCGGTGCTAGTTCGTTCATCATAATACCACGACTAGATAATAGGTAGGTAGGTGTCTATATATTATATCAACCGACAGTAAACCGCTGCAGGATTCACAAGTTAAGCCAGGAGGTATTTTTAGATTTTTGGACGTTTTCCAGTAGTGGAGCATTCATACATGTGCGCCAATATAGGTAAACATATAGGGAGGGAGGTTCAAATAAAAATGTCTTTGTCCCGAAGCTAAATAATGGTATGATGTTATTTAAACATAAATGTATACCTACAATTATAGGATTCAGTTCATATTGTAATATACTATGTCTAGCAAGTAGCAGGTCATACACTGTCTGCGATTAAAACGTTTTGGGAAATTATAATAGTCGCAGGGGCTGATCGATTTTTTACGAGTGTCGAGTAAGTAGGTGGGTGGTCGAGAAGACATCGCACAGGCATTACTTTTTATTGTCTATTATTATATTATACGGCATTATCTTGCACACCTAAGACAGAACATTTTGGTTCATCAGTTTCAATAGGTAATAATAGTGTGCGTTTTGATATTATAAGTTGAATTGACTTATTATAAAATTTAAATGTAACATTATTTTCTAGTCATCTGCTAGGGCACGACGTAAGCTTTTATTGATATTAATATTTTTAAGTAAGTTATGATCTTTTTTAAACTGTAAATTTTGATAACAAGTGAACTGCTAAAATAAAAAAATTACGCATTAATGTATTTTTGAGATTTTTAGGTTAGCTATTATATTATGTGAGTTTTGAGCAGGGGTTAAAATGGGGGGGCGCAGGAGGACTCGGTCCCCTTACCTTTGACGGCGATTAAAAAGCGTTCCCTTTAACAAATTAGAATTTTATACATTAGGCATTATACCTACATAAAATTGTATATGGAACGCTTAAAACTATATGGAGACATTAGTCCCCTCTGGAATTTTTTCCCATTTTAACCCCTGGTTGTGAGTTATAACTTATAAGTACCTGTTAAGTTATGACTTAGGGGAACCTTATTTTAAATTTTCAAATATTTTTGAGCATACAGGTAAAACACAACACGTGTAACATATTAGATTGTTCACACTTATCACTCAACATAATTTTAAAATAATTAAGTATAATATGTTCCAACCGGTTGGGGTCAAGAATATGATTAACATATTAATGGGCTAAAAATATGGACTCTAAATAGGCTAATTTAATTGCTGTTATTGAAGCCCATGTATTACAATGTCACAAACAATAATTCTGTATATTATTTAATAATAATAATAATAATAATAATAATAATAATAATATTTATTTGGCCATAAAACAATTAAACATGCAATGTAATAGTAATAATGTTACACAGAGTCAAAAACATGTAATTATTAAAATAGTAACTGATTATATAATAACAGAAATATTTGGCCCAACTCACCACTGAGGTGAAACCTCGTACCTATTGGTGAGTTGGAGACGTTGGAGTCTTACAAATTAATTAATATTTAGTTGTACCTACAAGAAAAAAAAAATTAAAACAAAAATATAGTGATAAAAAATTATAGAATAAATCTGAATAATAGATACCTAAGGAAAAGAAAAGATAGTGGTTATTTGATTTTTGTATGCAAGAAGATATAGGATAATTAGGAAACAAGTAGAAAATTAAGTTATGTCGTATGCATTTTCTAGCCATATTTTTATAAGAAGTTTGAATTTTGAGTATGATTGACAGTTTAAGATATGAGGAGGAACGTTATTTAAAAGTTATCAAGGCCTACTTTACTGAAGTATCTACTGGATTTCAAAGTTTTGATTGTAGGAATAGTTATTTTGTCATTTTGGCGAGTTGTCCGCCTGATCTGTTTGATTTCTAATATTTTTAGTTTATACGTAAAATATAATGCATCTTTATAAAATAATTGTTTTACGTCAAAGACATTCATATCTTTAAAAAGTTTTTCTGAGGAGTACCTAGGTTTTAGGTTTGTTTTTGTTTAGAATTATTTTTATAATGCTTTTTTGTGCTATTAATAATTTTTTTTATGCCACTATTCCAAGTCCGCCCCAGGCGGTAATGTCATACTGTAATAATGATTAGGTCATTGCAAAATAAACCATATTATGTAACATAGGTTTATCTAGTACTTTTTTAGCGTTTACATAGAAGTGATTAAGTTTCCGCATTTTTATTATTAAACTTTGAATTTGAATATTATAATAAATCTTACGTGGTACGTTATTTACCAACGTTTTTATTCTGGTTAATTGTGTGTGAAAAGCTGACCAAAGGATACGTTCCATGGATGTATTATATAGTAGGTACTTGATGCGGGGCCAATTTTGGTCGAAGAACTTTTTCACGCAAATACATTTTTTTTTTTTTTTTAGAATCTTTTGATATGTTTAAACTTTTGATTATACTTTAAATATCATAAATATGTTATAAAATTACATTTGTTCAATACACAATAAAAATATTGTTTCTCTTTTTACGTATTGGAGTGTATTTGTATATATATTTATGTCAACAGAATAATGGGCACCACTGAACATGCCCCTGTGAGGGCCCATGCAAAGTATTAACTACTAGCAATGTTTTTGTCACGCATCAAATACATCAATAAAATATTATAATAATAGGCGTGTTTTGGCGGAGTAAACTGTTTAGTAAATAAGTTTATGGTTATAGTCTTATAGAAAACGTTTACTGGAACGCCAAAACAATTGCTTGAACATTTTGTTTACTGAAATATTTGATAACATTGGATATCATACATTTTTTAGTAACCGAATCTCAGTAAACCTTATTACCAAGTCGAAATCGACTAAAATTCACTAAAATTCACTAAACACGTTCACGAAATTAGTTACCTGGTTACAGTAACCGTAATCGTGAAAACGATATTAGTAAACAGTTTACTAGCGGTTAGCGCCGGTTACACCGCCAAAACACGCCTAATGATAGGTATTTTTTGTCAGGTGAATGTATAATAATTAATAGATAACCATAGTCCATAGATAACTTGGGACTTTTACACATATACCTAATAAATTGTACTGTACGCAATGGCATTTTATAAAATAGTAATACTTTATAGTTCATTTATACTCTTGACTCCACAAACTACAAAGTAACAACTATTCCTACCAAGTATCAGAAAAGATGCTGATATAAAATATCAAAGCATTTTTACTACCTCAAAAGGTGATGACAGACACGAATAATAAATAAGCGGGTAAGTGGATGTCACTCTGCTGTACAGTTGGTTACAAGTGGGTCAATGTAATGGATGGTGTAAAATTTGAATTCAATGATATAAATTATTGTATATGAAAAACGATTCTGAGCAAAGTCCGCCTGTCAGCCTATAACATTACTAAGTAGGTATATTTTATGGTATTATTAAATTAAAGTTTTAGTTATTCATTTTAGTACTAGGCTTTATTAGATGTCTACTAAAGTAGGTTAAATTAATTTTTGTCAAAAAAATTACATTTGAAAATGTCATTGTGTACATAAAAAACAATAATAATAAAATATAATTATATACTTTAAATTACAAAACTTTTACCGATTTTAGTCAGTGCTTTGCTTCTCCCACCTACAACTTAGTGTTAAAGTGGTACTCGACTCGCCAATCACATCATTCACAAAGCACAAAACGAGATTTTTGTCTTTTGAGACAGAGTATAGAATATAGATGTAATAATAATGGTACAAAATTAATGAACATAAAACAGCTAATGGCCCTCACATATGAAGCATATTATGCTTAATGAAAAAATGTATACAACAGAACAGTCATTTTCTATTTTACAATAACTATTTTCTTTTTAGTTTACATAATTAATTCTATTTGTTATTTTCAACAGGTATTTCTGTATGTATTCGGATCCCATGCATTGACTTAATTTCATCTTTTAAAACCTGAAACAAATAATATAAAAATTACTTTTTTTAATTAACACCTATTGTAAATTGTTGCATTAAATGTATGAAGTTCAAAATATATAAGAATTAAATGTATAAGTATATTGATGTGACACAATATTAAATATATTAAATACTACAATATTACAAACTTTTCAATTGGAGAGTAATGTTTTAATAATTTTCTTAACAGGCCCATAAACAGAATAAACAGGTTTGGGTTCAACCCTCCAAAATATTTCAAAAACTTTTTTTTTTTTTTAACAAGGCTATTTATAGTTAATTTAAATTTAATTTAGTAATAAACACATGCCTCCCTTTTCTGTATACATGCTTGGTTTAAAATTAATATCAATATTAGTTAGGTATATACTTCGGTAATAAGTTGGTGCTGTTTTACCATACTCATTCCCTTGAATTCTGTCGTGGAAATAAATACTTCGAAAATTGCACCACAACCACCTAAAAATATTTTAAATAAGTTTATATAATTTAAATTTTAAATTTCAAATGTAAAATATTATTATAAAATAATTTTATTTCTTATAGGTAATTACGTAATTATTGAGGGACAGATATTTAATAGTAAAATAGGTATTGCTTAGATATAAAAAAAAAATACAAATTATTGAAACTGGTAAAAAATCTTCATTAAATCTTACATATCAGTAATCATATTAATACATTCCAATACCTATAATAATTCTAATATCAAAACATTTTTTATTACCAAAAATATGTATCACACGATAAATCTAATATAAGTAATTAATAAAAAAAAAAAATTAGATTAATAACATAAGCATCTAAACTATAGTCTATAATAAGAGAACATAAATAAAATTGGAGTTCTACTGAACTATTCATTGAAATTATTCTTAATAAAAATGGTATAAATTATAATGTGATTATTGACAAATGTACACTGGGGAAAACATCCTAGTAAAACAATATATTTTATACTAATTTTACAGATACATCATATAAAAATAGTGATGCGAAATGCAAGTTTAAGATATAACATAATGTAATGTAATAACCTGAAATATCTTTGATTTTGATTTCTTTGGCTTGAGGAAATTTTTTTTGTAATGACAAATACAAAATATTTTCACCACCTTTTAGAGTTGATACATTAGGGGTATCTGAGTATTTTCTCAAAGCACTCTATACAATTAAAAATATAAACATAATTTTGAATTGGTTCATCAATGGTAAGAATAAATTAGTTACGTCTATTTTACTTACAAGATTTGTACTAAATAATTTTGCACTACGTCTTGTGATTTGAAACATTTTATCAAGATTTTTTAAAATAACTGTGTAGAGCTGAATATGCCAATGAAATCAGAAACAATGATTCGTGTAAAATTCATGTACCTATTTATAAAAATATTATACATATAATAGGAATAAATTAATAATGCGATACTAAAATATAAAAAGTAAAATTGGTAAGATATGTGTTAATAATAATATTTGATTACAACTAGCCACTATCAGTAGGTTCATAAATTCATCAGATGACAGATAACAGATAACAGATTGGTCAGTCGCTGGATCGAGTGTCTATTCCACAGATATATACTATTATACTAATACTAGGGCAGTAGGGCCCTGTATTTTATACCGTATTATACAAGAGTCAGTGCCTTACTAATACCATAGAACACTAGATACTAGATACTAGATACTAGATCACAGATATATAAACATACAATTTTATATAGCTATAAATATGTCTAGTTCCGTGGTATTAGCAGGGGTATGAAACTCCGTGAATTGGCAGTTCGGGAGATTGTGGCCTTGAACACGGGGGGAGGCGTGGCATACGTGAAATAGGGAATGGTAATCAAGCCGACCCCGCGTAGCGTATCCCTCCTATGTTTCGGAAAACGTTTACATAACCGAGAGACTTTGGGTCTAACGTCATGTTAGTGAGCGGACACGTTACCGTGTCTTTCGGAGGTTCAGACTTCAGATCATAGGGAAAAAAAACCCCCAATCAGCTGATCGAGTTTCGCTTCCATCTTGTTCTATGGTATTAACCATGTACGTCCGCGGTATTAACCGTCGTGTTCCAGCAAAATAACAAAAAAAATAAAAATCGTTCCAAAATTATTATCAATCTACTGAACGCTAGATGCATATCATGACTAAATTAATCATAAACATAATATGTCTATGAAATTAATTAATTTTGTCATGGTCATTTTCTAATTTCTTGTCGTTTCGCTTCGTCTTCTAGCAAGGATTTCCTCAGACGTGAAAATAACCACTGCGATATCTACACACTACAACACTTCGCTATGTCACTATTTAGGTAAGCAAAACTTATGTCTGTCGCTCAAAAACCTGTTGTTGTTTATTAATTGTATGTCCAGTAGACGCCACTTATAAGACTCACGGATGTTATAATGTTCAGTCGCTTATTAGATCGAAAATCGTCCGCAACGGTTCGGACGTATCCAAGTACATTTAGAAAATTCAGTTACCTATAAGACTCAAATGTCGTTATAAAAATCGTAGAAGATTAACTTTTGTGTTGGTTATTGCTTATTACTGGTTTCTAATCATTCCGCATAAACTATATTTATGTGCCTATAACAAACATTATTACATTTCAAATTTATCGCAATTATTGTTGTGCTGGTCCCAATGTGAGTCTTATAAGCGGCGTCTACTGTAATATATAGAGCTCGGATTTGTATGCATTTGCATATTTCTTCTGGTTGATCGCTAAGTGAGCACAGAATTTGTCTCATGACATAACAATTTAAATTATGCGACTTTTATGGTGTATATTTTGCATATTTCATCTCTTAGTGAATAGTTGGGTGCTTTTTTTAGATATTTTTAAAATAATCAATATTGTAATATAGAAAAAAAGATGTAGGTATATTTTTTTAGTTTCAATTAATATCGAAATAAATGAATAGGTATAGGTACTTGTAAGTGTAAACGGTTTACTTAAATATATTTGGGATTTTATTTTTTTCTCATAGATTAAAACAGGTTAAAACTACCAACAAAACACAAAATATGATTTCTGTACTGAAGTAAACTTTTTTTAGGTTACATTTTAGATAGGTATTAATTGATTTCCATTTTTTCCTTATTAAAAAACACTACATACAAACACTGATATTTGAAAGCAAAGTATTTTTAGTAGCGTTCCATAATTTTAAATGTATCATTCAAATTAGGTAAATATTCGGAAAATAAATGTATTTTTTTGACTAATTTGTTGAGTGCATATTTTGGTTGGGTTTTAATGTAGGTATGCAAATCTGCATTCTAGTAATATGTATATTAATTATTTTATAATTCATCAGCGTGTTACCAGCACCTACCCAATTCCTTCAGGACTTGGAAGAAGATGACGAAACCAACGAAACACTTGCCGAGAAAACCAATACGTTTGAAGTGTACGCTGTTAAAATCCCTCCATACGGAAACAGAACTGGATGGGTACCGAGGACTGTTGAAGTAAATCTTAAAATATTGTTATAATGTTATGTAATTTTGCCTTATAGGTTCATAATAATGTGTAATCAATTCATTGATTATAAATGATAAATAAATTCAAATAACTAATGCTCAAGTAACTAATTGCAGATCATTTTTAAAATCTTAATTCAGCAATATATTCATTTTTAACACATTTGTGGTCTTGTGATATTTCAGTGAATTTATGGTAGCCGTGGTGTCACACTAGATACAATAGGCTTGTTTCAGCGAACTACCATATTTCTATATTGAATCCAATTAGATTTTATTTGTGCTTAACAAAATATAATTTTTATATTATATTTATACCTTGACATAGAAGTGTAATAAGAAATTACTGATTCAATTAGTTCAATATTTGCTCCGATTAGCCAATTTTATAAAGCTTAAAAAATGATTTTAACTGAAGTGTTTTATTTAAGTAAAATCATCATATTACTAATTGAATGGTAAAAAAAATAGTATAAAGTTGACCTTTTACTTTAAAAACTATTGTTTATGATCAACTATGGTAATAATAACAACACATTTTTTAATTAAAAATAATATTTTTCACTTTATAGAAAATATTATCTTTTAAAAATATATATCTAACATAAAAATTAAAAACTAAATAAAATACAAGTGTTGTACAAAACAAAACATATTTTTCCCTAAATGCATTAATCAATATTTTTTTTTTCTTCTGATTGAGATATGATTTTTAAGAATGCAATAATTATTGCATAGTACACTTTTGTTAAAATAACCATTTATTTTTATTTAGGATTTTGGAGATGGTGGTGCTTTTCCAGAAATCCAAGTTGCGCAATATCCATTGAATATGGGAAGAGAAAATAAAGAATCTGTTTCAAATGCACTTGCACTGCAGTTAACTTCTGATGGTAAAGTTAAATATGATGTGATTGCTCGCCAAGGTCAGAGAAAAGATAAAGTGATTTATTCAAAACTATCTGACATGCTTCCATCTGAGGTGGTCAATGAAGATGATCCTTCCTTGCAAAAACCTGATTCAGAAGAAGTTGCAGACATCACTGAAAAAACAAGACTAGCACTGGAAAAGTTGACTAATTCTAAAGTTTCGGCTGCATTACCAGTACGAGCGGCCGATAAACCTGTAAGTTACAATGTATTTAATGTTTATGAATATATTTATTTTTATTCATACAATGTTTATGTTTAGGCTCCCGTACAATGGTTCCGGTACACCCCTACTGAACAAGGACAAGAATATAATTCCGGTTCGAAACAACGTGTTGTAAGATTGGTAGAGGCTCAAAAAGATCCAATGGAACCACCTAAATTTAAAATAAATAAAAAAATTCCGAGAGGTCCTCCATCGCCTCCTGCGCCATTAATGCATTCACCAACCAGGAAAACATCTGTCAAGGAACAGAAAGAATGGAAAATTCCACCATGTATATCCAATTGGAAGAATGCTAAAGGTTACACAATTCCATTAGATAAGAGATTAGCTGCTGATGGTCGAGGTTTACAACAAAACCATATAAATGAAAAATTTGCCAAGCTGGCCGAGGCTTTATACATAGCAGATCGTAAAGCCAGAGAAGCTGTTGAAATGAGAGCTCAGTTGGAAAAGAAAATGGCACAAAAAGAAAAGGAAAAGAAAGAGGAACATCTTAGAGCAATGGCTCAAAAAGCCAGAGAAGAAAGAGCAGGTATTCGGCTACCTGGATCCGCAAAGAATGACGAATCTCGTGAACGTGATCAATTGCGTCTGGAACGTCAAAAAGACAGAGCTCGTGATCGTAACCTTGCTAGAAATGCTGACAGCCGTAAAAACAAAGTATTGCGTGATCGAGACATAAGTGAACAAATTGCTCTTGGCCTCCCAGCAATCACTAGAAAAACTGGAGATACTCAGTACGATCAACGTTTGCTTAATACAACAGCTGGTATGGACACCGGATTTGGTGATGATGAAGAATATAATGTGTATGATAAACCTTGGCGCGGAAACAGCAATTTGGCTCAACATATTTATCGTCCATCTGCTAATATTGATAAGGAAGTGTATGGTGATGATTTAGAAACAATTGCTAAGACAAATAGGTGAGTTTGGTATTATAAGGTTGGAATCATAAACCTATAAACAAATGGACAGCTCATAGAGAGAGAAATCACCAGACGAGATTGTTGAGAGAAAAAGAGAGGTTTTGGGTTGTTACAGTGTGCCAATACATGTTTTTTCTTTCTCATGTGCTCATATGTTATGTTGTCTGGATTTAACAATGGCAGGGCGGTGTGGGAAGCGCTGTCCATTAGTTTATAGGTCTGTGGTTGGAATACTTAATTTTTATTATTATTATTTATTGAAAAGTGGTCTAATCAGTCTCATAAACTGAATAATTTAAAGTGGTTTTGTGTACTTTATGGTTCCTTTATGAATTAAAAATATTTTACAATTTTTGATTTTACATAATGTAGGGAAAACCTTATTTTGTGACTCATAATCATTATATTAAGAAATCTGATTCTTTATAGCTAATATAACTAACTAATACCAATAAATATAATTTAACTTGTAATGTATATTTTTTATACAAATATTTAAGTAATTATGATTTTTGTTTTCATTTAGATTTGTGCCGAACAAAGAATTTAGTGGAACAGATCGTGATCCTAAAGCTAGTGGTCGGTCTGGTCCAGTTCAATTTGAAAAACATCAACAAGAAGAGGATCCATTTGGTTTGGATCAGTTCTTGACTCAAGCTAAGCATGCATCTAAGAGGTCTCAACCACAACAACAAGATCGTGATAAACGT